ATGACCCCCAGGTCCCTTTCAGACATGGTGCTAGCTAGCATAGTACCACTGAGCCTGTAAGTTTGTCATGGATCAGAATGTTGCTTCTCTAAAATCATATGAACTGTGCAAATTATAAAAGGGTCATGTCAAAATCCAAACAGCTCCTGAGTTTTCTCTTGGTCAATTAACCAAGAAGGCTTGATCTAGCATGACTTGGTAGCAGTGAAGTCTAAACCAGACTACGGGATGAAACAGGGGGCCAATATCTGAGAAGTAGCAATATGATACAACAAACAAAAATCTTCACTGAGGAACTTGAATTTTCCCTCCTCTCCAGGTCTTTCTGAGTTCTGAAAATCTATGTGCCCACAAGAAGATAAGGAGGTAAGGGCTGACAGCAGATACTCACGATAGAGAAACTCTGGACATGGACACATTACAACAGTTCCTCAGTGTAATCAGTCTGCAAAGACAGGCTATAAAGCCCTTCACTGCTGTAACTTCTTTGAATCTGGCTGGGAAAAATCAGGGGTAAAGCTACAGTAGGGTAAGTTAGTTTAGCGTAGGTGTTGTGCCTATAGCTTACACCAAGACAGCCATTTGCTCCTCTTCTACCTAGTGGTGAAGCGCAGTAATACAGCAGACTACTAAATGCAGCGACCCTGGAAATAGCTGCATGTTTCTCTCTTCTGGATCCTGTTGTAATTTATAGCGGTTTAGAAAATGGATGAAAACTGCCCCAGTAAAAAGGTGTTCAGGGCCAGAGTGAGCCATCTCACATCGGAGGTCAGCTCACAAGGAGATGGGTGTGTGGCCTATGCTAGGAGCCTTCCCAACATGGAGAAATGTCCACTCTCCCCAACTCTGAACGTGCTGTTTGGCATTCCTGGAAGGCAGTGCTTGAGAAATACAAGATCCGAAGACTTGTAGCAGTCCCACTGCTTCATTACTGGCCAGTTTTCAGCCACTGTCCTATATCCTTTGGTGGTAGTATGTCCTCTCTGATCCTACCCAGAAAATGTAAGCTCAGTAGATTCCTATCTCCCAGCCAAAAGAGAGGTCCCAGGCAGCAGGAAGGACAGTCATAGGAGATCTTATTCCTGCTTTAGAAATTAAACACTTTCCTGTCCTTCACTCATGCCATAATCTTGACTAGCAAATTACTGCCAGCATCCTTGCTCCTGAAACCAAAACAAAGACTAGTTAGCTGAAGATAAGGGACCTTGAGGAGCTACTGTAGCAAAAAAAGCCTGCTCAATAGAGTGACAGAACTAATGGAGTGACAAAAGAGACAGGAGAAGGAACCCATCCATTCCATTCTGTAAGAGGGACCCTAATCAGGAAAGAAAAATACTATAAAATGCTGTAAAATAATTAGGCTCTTAAAATTTATGAAAAAGTAATATGAAAATTCAATCTCTGTATAAAGGGCTCCATTAATTCTTTCAAATTGCAACTCTACAAATTGGTTCTAAAGAGCACCAATAATGTTCATTATCTAGGATTAAACATTAGCTGCATTGTAACCTAGATTTACGTTATTCACATAATACTAAGCCGATATCACATTTTACCTTTTCAAATCAGAAATCTGGGTGTTTGCATCAAGCAATCTGTTTTCAGTTGCGTTTAATGTATCCTGTAAAATAGGAAAAAATAACTAGTGCAGAATCTATCACCATATAAGGGAAAAATGACTAATGCTGCATCTATCATGAAGAATTACAATGTGCATCCCTTTTTATCTGAGAGTTACGTTAAAAGTTAACAGACTTTAGCTAGATTTCCATTATCCTTGATAGTTCCAATTTGAATCATAAAGAACAATAACATTTTCTTCCTCCTCTAAGGCACTTTAATTAACCTCTATGTTAAAGGATAATTTTATCCCTGTTATCCTTTTCTACATACTTGAATTGTCAATTCATATGAATTTCTGTAGCATATGACAAACCCAATACTGGAACCTTTCCTTACTTGGAGCTGGTCCTCTTCACTCATAGTTGGGATACCTGGACATTCCCATACAGTCACTACTTACAGACCTATATAACAGAAGAGGTGCCTATACACAAGCAGGGAGGCTGCTCTGACACTGTAATTATAAACGCTCTGACAAACATGGTAATTACCACGCTCCAGCAGCCTCCCGCGTCACCTGTGACAGGGGTGTTTTACCTAAAACTCGTTCAACGAACTTTAGATAAAACATCCCCATCACCATTTTGAAATGCGGGTGACACTAATACACGAGACACTCCAGGCGCTTTAATCAGATTGGCTCTCCCACCCCCACACAACTCCCAAAGCATGTGTATAAACACCCAAGGATTTTACTTAAAACAGGAATAAAAGAATACGATTCATTAATGATCACCTACCTTTACTCTTTCATGTTCTTTTCCAAGGGATTCATATTCTCCAAGAAGCTAAAAGCAAACAAAATAAAACCCAGAAGCAATCAAGCTAGTGTGGATAACAATAGCGGTGAAAATGTAGCAACATTGTATTTGGCAAGTGTTAGCAGTCAGAGTATGGCAGTCCATCAATTATCTGGCAGTTGAACATCAATTAACTGAAAGCCCCCCCACTCCTAATTTTACCCCTCTTTCTTCTGACTCATGCAGAGAGTGCCGGGCTCCCTGATAGCCTGCCCAGTGATGAGCTGTCAGCGAGCCTTGTGGGACCCGGTTGCTATACCTGATTAAGCAACCCCAGGCCACCCTGGGCCTACTCAAGCAGCAGCACAGATTCCCAGAAGAAACAGATTACCCAGAATGATGGTGACACTAAATATTCCAGATAGTCAACATTTTACAGTACAAGTTCCCCAGGGTCCCTGGAGACTGTGCTATGCAGACATACCCATAAAAGTTTTCTCCCTAGTTCCCGCTGGCTCCAGGGTTTATTACATAAATCAGTCTATGCCAAGAGCAGATGATATCACCCTCTGGGCCTGCAAAGTAGTGCTAAATGGCACAGTGAAGGGATAAAGCTAAGGCTCCACCATGCCCCTCCCCCCCGGCACAGAACTCTTAAGCGGAGGCATGAGGCTGCTCTGCCTTTCACACTAGGACAAGCCAGACAGTACACCTGGAAATCAGGATGCACCACATGCCCCCTGCTCTTACCAACATGCAGGGCAGGGGACAATCTTCTCCGTTAAGATTTACATGTAAAAATTTCTGAAACTGATGAATAGTTTAATGGGGTAAAAATCTGAAGAGACACTGTCAGATCTTTCAGGGTCCAAAATTACTTTTTATAAATACTTTTAATTAAATTCTAATAGCTACGGGAAATCTCTCTCCCACACACACTCTCTCCCTGGAGAGTCTGCAACGCAGAGAGTGTCTTATTTTACTAGTGAAAGTGAAGTCTTCTTGGTATAACCTGAACATCTGGATATGGACAAAGTTATGATCTAGGTCCTGAAGACTCATATTCTAAACTAAACAATGCAAGTAAGGGTTTGCAGGGACTCAACACAGGTCCTTTTTATAAAGTAAAAACTGTTTTCTGATGCTGGCCTTCACCCTGCAATGTGCTTTACATAGAAGGACCCCGCCCACCAATGCAGCTGCATTAAAATCAGTGCTGCTATACATGAGCAGAGGAGTCTGCAAGAGCAGAGTAAATTAGCAAAATCAGGGCCAAAATCATAAGAAAAATATTAAATATGGGTCTCCTAGTTCATAAGGGGTAGGTAAAAAGTCACAACTCAACAGGACACATGGCAGGGATGTCCACAATATTTAAGGCATAGTTCCATTTTTAGATCCATATTCAGCAAAACAATTAAGCTTCTGCAGAAGTGCTTTACCTACCTGCGGCTTAACTACAGAGGCCAAGACCTGAATTTTACCCTAGAAGAGTGCTACTGGGTAATGTAAAAGAAATGAAATTTCTTACAAAGTCACGTCTCTTGCCTAAAACAATTCTAGCTATGTAGGAATTAGTCCTTTTTATTGCCGATAGCTGTTTTAGCTTCTAATCCACATTTTTAATTCTAATTCCCAATGACATTTAAAATATTTAAAATATTTTTAAATATTTGAAGAAAACAGAGAGCATTGTGCATAAGCCCATAAAGTCACATTTTTATTTCTAAAAAAGCAGTGTCCCTTTTTTGGTTGCATGGATGATGATAACAGTTTGCTGGCTCATAACATTTCTATGCTCAAGCACAAACTTGCTTAAAGTATATCTGAGTCTTATAAAATGAATTGTGTTAAAAATACAAGTTATTAAAGCTTTTTTCCAGAATGGAGAGGTGGCAAGAAAGCAATCGGAAAAAAAAGTTAAAGGGAAAAAAAAATCTTACAAAGTTTAAGTTTCAAATGTGCTCAACACTAACTTAGCTCTGCTCACACTAAAGTGAATGGTAAAATTCCCCACTGACTTTAAAGGAACGATTCTGGCCAACACTGAGCACTTTGAAAATACTACCCTAAAAATGAAGTTGAAACATTTAATACATTTTTCTGCACTAATATCTATTCTGCCAGAGCGTAAACTAACGGTAAGGAACTAAAAACCATGAGGCTCTTAAACTGGTCTGCAATAAAACAAAATCTGAAAGCTACAAGTTAAAAAAGAGAGTTTCGGTCCACCAGTGAAGTAAAAAAAATAAGACGCTAGTTCTAAAATTAGTTCAGAAAACGTTACCTTTCTAGACACACAGATGGTGAGCTAAGATAGCAAAAAGATCTAACTGCTGGAGACAAAAAAGAAACTGAGTAGGCAGAGTCTTTAAAAATCTGTCTCCCTGCTGTTGCAAAACACCACCTAGCTAGCCATCTGGATTTGAAAGATATAAATAATATTTTATTTCTTTCTAATGCTTATGAAAGTAAAGTAAACTCATGGTTTAAAAAGTAGTAAAATACCCAAGATGAGCTATTAAAAATGTTCTTTCCTTTCAGTACGTGCAGTTAAAATAAGATGTAGTGAAACCAGCACTAATGTGAAGCAGACAACTTCCTACATTAGGAAACTGCTTTAAAAATATCCATTAGGTTTCTAGGTTTCTGGCCTTTCTTGTTCCACATTTAACTACTACATGCACCAAGCAACTTTATCTTTTGGGTCCCTCATTTGGAGCTTGTTGATACCAAACCCCTGGGTCTCTCAGAGTGGGGATTTCTCATACCCACCTGACCCACCCACCTACTCCCACTCGCAAATGCCAAAGCCAGAAAAGCTGCCGTTAGTGTCCTGCCTGACTGCTCTGAGCACGACAGAGAGACAGACCTTGAGAGTGGCCACTTAAGCGTCTGCTGTAATTAATTTTGAGCAGTCTACTCCAAGCATCCACCACAAGTACAGATCAGACCGTTACTGATGATTTTCTCACTTACATCTTGAAACATTTTATTTTCTTCCTTTAACCTAGTATCTTTATTGTCTGATAGCTTGTAAGCCTTTTCAAATGCTTCTTCAAGATCTTTAAGCCTAGATTTCAGTCGGCTGATGGTATTATCCTTATCTTTATTACTTGTGCGCATTTCTTCAATACGTTCTTGCAAAACTTTGGAAGTATTGCTGGCTGCATAAAAGCGTTCTCTCCAATCTGTCTGCAGGAGGAAATAAAACAGTGCTTATTCAAACATTTTCATAATAAACTTCTGTCTCAAATATTCAAAAGTAATCTAAAACCATACTAGAATAGGAAACAGAAGTGAATAAATCTATTTACACAAACCAGAAAAACAACACCACACGTAAAAGCTCCTCTCTGCACTGCACCACACCAGACTAAAACTAAGAGTCAAACACCCATTTCCATCTGGAAAAACTATTTCACAGTCTTTAGCAAGGAACCAGCTTGCTCCACAGTAAGGAAAGACATGACTCAAGCCCAGCAGGAAATCTGGAGGTCATGGTTGGAGGATACATGTATTTTGCCCCAGATGGGCAGGCCTCTGCAAATGAGAGGAGGACAGCAATAGCGTTTTGTGCCTCACTGCACATGAATTTGCCTTACTCCCCACCCATGCAAGACAGAGCTAAACAGGAAGTAACTAGACTTATTTTTTTTTCTCTTTTCTCCCATTTTTGGAGAGAAATCAGAAGCCCATCTCTTTCATATTTTTCTGCTGAACTTTGTTTAGTCCTTGCTAAAATGGGGAAAAAGGAATGGAGGAG